CCCCCACCCCCGAAACCCCCCCCCCCCCCATCCCTCGCCTGCTGGCTCAGGCCTCCCTCCCTCCCGTGCCCCTAAACCCCGTGTGCCCCGCCGAGTCAAAGCCCCTACGGCTGAGAAACAACCAGCTGGAAAGCGGGAACGACGGGACCGAGAGACCGGCGGCCTGAGGGACGGCTGGACCCCACCGCACCCGGCCCGGCCCGCCCGCCTTTCTCCTCCCGCCGCCCCACCGCGCATGCGCGGAGCCGGCCCAGCCACCCGGATGGGCGGGTTGACGGTTGGGCCGGTCCAACCGGAGAGACCGGGAGGGGACCCCGCGTCGCCGGCCGGTTACCTGGCCGAGGGTCCCGCGGTGCAAAGCCCGGATCAGGCCACTCGGTGTCGCCATGGCAAAGGCGGGAAGGGGCTGGGGGGGGGGATGTGAGGGGGAAGGGAAGCAGGGCAGAAGGCCGGAAGGATCAGCGCATGCGCTCAGCAGTGGTGTCGCCCCCCCACCGTCCGGAGTGCGCATGCGCAGATGCGCAGTGGCAGCCGGTTGCAGCGCGGGCGGGTCCTGTCGGCGCGGCCTTGTGCAAACGCCAGCGCTTCGCCTCTCTCTTTTTTTTTTTTTTTTTTTCCCCCCCCACGGGTCCTGCCTCATGTGGAGGTTGCCCTTGAAATTGCCCTTCTCAGCAGTGTTTCCCCCCCTGCCCCTGTGTAACCTCCGAGGTCTCCCCGGCCCCTGTTCCCCTCAGGCCGCCTGACTCCGCTCCCAGTGGTTTTTCCACTCAGAGGTCCGCAGCTGGGCCCCTGCTTGAAGATTCCCGCTTCTGCCTGTCTCATTCCTCTTCGCTCGTCAAACCAAAGCCAATCCCCACAGAAAACCCTGAAAAGCTGCTGTCTGCCCTGAATCGGCTGCGCTTAGTCCCGAATGCTGAGACCGAAACAGCTCTTGGCATCTTTCACCCCTGACGCGGCAGGTCCCTGAGTCTGGCCTCAGGTGTCCTTTCTGATGCACCAGGTAACAGAGCCAAAACAAGTAACGCTGAAGTTCTAAATGAGGTTTAACATGCCCCTGAAGACCTTGTACACAAACCCTGTGTGCTGGCTCTTTTGGGAAGGGTGCCGGGTTTCTCCCCAGTTAATTTCTACCCAGTTCAGTTCCCAGGCTGGGAAGCCACAACGTTGCTTTTTACTGATGTTCAGGGGAGGTGAACTGCGGCTCAACTGCAGGGCTGGAAACGTCTGCGGCAGTGACTGTGGGAACCTGCTCCTGCAGGATTTGGGGAAACAAACCAGGAATCGGGAAAGCAGGTGTACTTGTAGGTCGGTGATCAGTGGCACTACGCATTGTACGGGTGATTATTTCCAGTAGTCAACTCAGTACTGAGCAAGGTTAGTCACTGAGGATATTACCATAGAATGTTCCTAACTAAAACCCTGAAGTAATTTTAATAGCTAAAACAACTGTAAGTTTACATAATTGTTTATTTATTTTCAGTTTGATGCACTGGTTAATAACAATTTTCAAATTTTAAAACTGTGTATGTACAGTGCTTAGTACATTGGAGCCTAATCTTCATTTAGTTCCCCAGACTCTACCATAATACAAATTGTAAAAAATGTACTTTGCACAGTCAATAAGAACTTTAACTTGAACCCAGAAATTGTACATATAATTTTTTCATCATTTGCATCATCACTACAGATATTGTTTATAATTTGAGCTGAAAACTTCTATGTGCAATGTTCATGTTTGTCTGACATTTTTATTCAGTGTTATGTTTCAGCAAAAAATGTGTCAGCCATTTTTGAGAACATAACTATGCAAAAATCACGCAAAGCTGGTTGAATTGTAGGAGACGTCAGGGAAGAAGCGGAAAAATGGAGAAGTCCAGGTGATATTTTTTGAGATTTTCTGGTCCTAAGGCCAAAAAATATTAGACAAGAGACTGTGGCTGCTCTACTAATGTGAGACTGAAGACGTGCTTTGAGTGGAGCATCAGGTGACAACCCTGATGGTGGGAGGAATGCACAGATGCCTTAGCCTCTTCTCACAACTAGAACTGTTCTCCATTGGAGACTAATTGGGGCAGGTGGAGCTGTCTTAAAGTAACACGGTGAAGAGAGGGATGCTGAAGAGGCAAATGGAATATAAATTCAGCTTTAAAAATTGTAAAGGAAGTTGAGATAATGTGATAAGGAAATGTTAAGACAATTTTTCAGTTGTAAAGAATTTAAAAACAAATTCTTTTCCAGTATGTAATTACCAAGAAAGCTTTCAGCATCTACTAAATATAAATATTACCATATCATTGTAAATCAGTAAGTCAGACATTGGTTTGAGGCAAAATGATGAAGAATAAAGCTACGTGGGATTCAGTAGTAAAAGACTGAAGAATGAAGGTATAGTTAATACTACTTAAAAAGTATTAGTGTTAATTTTCAAGGTTATTAGAATTTGAGTTAATAAATGGAAGAGTAAAAGGTGATACTTTTTAGACTTTTGCCTAAGATACTTCAGTATCACAGAGCATTCAAATTAAACATACCAGAGAAGCACACATTAAATGACTAAGGGCTGATTAGCTGACAGCTCTCCAAAAGTACTTGTTAAATTTGAATTGGGAGACTTCTAGGAGGGTCCTATGATGACCCATGCTTTGCCCTACTCAATACTGTTACCAGTTATCTGGAAATAGATAGTGAATAATTTATGTTGAAATGTGCCCTTGACACAAATATTGACAGACTTGTAAATAATGCTATAAACATGGTGATCACTCGGACCATTCAGATAATAGGAGTGTATTAAAACAAAGCATGTTTTAAAATCAAATTGAAACCAAAGTAAAAACTTGAATTAAAATTGGGGGTTTTTTTCTTTAACCAGAACCGAGCCTGAGTTATTACTTTGAAGTCTTTGTTGAGCCCAAATTCAAGCTGAACAGAAAGAAAAAATTCAATACAATATTTATGATAGCTCTGTAACACAAGAAGAGCCCACTACTATGACAGAAATCTAGTAGGGGCAGAAGAATAAGCACAGGATATTCTTGGTGCAGGCAGAGGGAGAGTGGTGTGAATGTGAAAGGCGAGTGAGAAGAGGAGGAGGTTGGCTTGAGAATCCCAGAGAAGACAAGACAGCTTGCATCCTGAGAGATGGCCAAGTTAGTGGAGGAGAAAGATTCACTGCTCACATTTATTGTCCTCTGAAATCTCCCACTGCTGCTGAAAACTCTTCTGACCTTTCTCATGTATGATTCCTTTACACTTTTCCCCTACCCATATTACCCCAATGCATGTTGTGAATCCATTCAAGACTGTTTAGATGTGCGCTACTGAGCCCAAATTAGGAAAATACCACTAATCGCTGAGCGTGAACCAGAACTCAGTCAAAATATCTCTAGTGCAATTCTCTGGTTTTAATACTGCCAAACTGACCGTTGACTTACTTAGAAACAAGAGTTCTAGACCGTGTCTTTCAGATGAGTCTACGTCTCCTGGGACACGGTGATTCTGCAAAAGATCTAGAGTTTGTGTTGGACAAGCAACTCTATTTGCTAGTGCAGTCCTGTTGCTGAAATGGTCAATTAAGTGATTTTTTAGTACTGGGGTACCAGTCAGTAAATACTAAGTCCACTTTGGGTTTCTGTGCTTAAAAGAGGTATTGAAAAATCAAGGAAAAAATATAGACAATAGCCATAAAATAATTTAAGAGAAGACTTAGGCATATGCTCAAATAAGTGATTAGTGAAAATGCAGGATAGTGCTAGGAGCAGAACAGAAAGTCTGTGATTCTTTTTTCCAGGTAGAAAGACCTCTGTAGTTGGGCTACAACACACAAAACTTGTATTTGCATGAAGCCTTGAAGAGGCAGTGCTTTACACAGGACCCAGCCTTGGTTGGCGTACAATGTGAAGGGGTCCTGGGAATTAGTTAGGGATGTGTAGAGAGTTTTTATACACAGCCTGTTCATCTTATTTAACATAGAAACTGGAAGTTGGTTGGTTGTTGGCAGCAGATTGTGAAAAGGAAGAATGGTTAAAGAAGCTGAATACATTTTGAAAGCCTGGCTTTATTCCTTGCCACTGCCAAAAATCACATGTACTAAAATATTTTGCATTCCTCACCTGAAAAATTAGCAGAAATCCTGTGCACTCTTAGCTAAAAACTATTTTTTTGCTACTGTGCTTCTAATATACCATATGCTAAAAACATGAAACAGCCTAAAATATTAGAACCTATGTCTATTAATTTAACATGTAAGATTTATGTTTTATGCTTAATGTATTTGTGCTTTAGCTCCCATCTTTAAAATAGAGTAAGAGTAACAGCTATTCAAGTCAGCATTGTCAAAATAATTTCACTAATACTTTTGAACCATTCACATTCTCTGATAAAAGTAGCAAAGGATAACGTAGAAGGAAATCAGTACTTTTCTACTCAATTGAGGGATTATGACAGAAAGTCCTATAGTAAGAAAGTTTTAGGACACCATTTTGATTAAAAAATATTTTTAAAAATTAACACTAATCAATGAAGCAAGACCCTTGCAAAAAATAGTATGCTATCATATAGCTAGAGACAGTATCATAATATTTATGCAGAAGAGAGGGAAATAAATTAAAATCACATCACAGAGTTGATGGTGTCATTTCTCAGTTTCTGTGTGTTTGATCATGTTTTTTAATGTAGCTTGGGGGAGGGATAATTCTAATTACAATTTTTATTGTTTGCCTCAGTATTGCTCAGGTACTGTCTAAAATAGGATCCCTTTGTGCTATGCATTGCTCAAGCACGCACCAGGTGACAGCCCCTGCTCCAAATAGCTCATAGTCTGAACACACAAAATGGACACAGATCAAAGAGTGCATGACACACGACGTGATAAATGAATTTGCAGAAATCTCCATGTAAATACTGTGGCTCCCATTGTTTTTTTTAAGTGAAGGATATAATTAGCAAGGTACTACCTGAATGAAAGAGCAAGGAAGGGGGATTTAGGCAAACTAGAGAAGGGACACCAGGTAGGGTGGGATCGGAAGAACAGAGTAAGAGAAGTTGGAACAGGCAACCAGAAAGCACAGGAAAGAGTCCAGTCAAACCCTTCACATTGTCATGCATAAAGAACTTCACTTGAGACGTGCAAGTTGGCATAGTTTAAAAGCACATCTTTGAAATTCTTGAGAGCCTGGAGGTTAGCAGCAAGACTGGCTGAAGAGGGTGAAGCAATTACTCTTACCTGTTTCATTTTACATTTTACACACGCTATGGAAGAATCTTTGACCATTTTTATACATCTGTCTGTTCAGTGAAGCTGTGGCAGGGTAGTCATTTGAATGCTGAAGATCTGGCAGAGAGCATGAAGTGTTGTATTATCTTTTGTATCCTGAAACTGTTGATGCTATCATAGCATT